AATTTAGTATGCTTGCTACTATATTGTTAAACATTTTTTTGCATACTTATATTCAATTATCAATAATTGTAATAATTTTTTTAATAATATTTGAATGACATATTAGCTAATTAATATTAATCAAAATTTAAATTTCTCTTTTCTTTTGTTAATTTTACTAAAACTGTGTAATTTATTGAAGCGAAAAAAAAGATACGAAAATTGAAGCATTTTAGCAATATTGCTTCTAAAACAAGCAAAGCTTTCAAAAATAAACAACCGACTACAGCTTGAAATTCTATCACTTAAAAAGTAAGTCTAGTAAGTTACTTAAAGTCATTCTCACTTTTCTTTTGTCCACATTTTAATAAATATCTGGTAGTATACACTTGCATGTATGTATATGAATCTATATGTGTGTGTGTGTGTGTGTGTGTGTGCGTGTGTGTGTGTGTGTGCGCGTGGCTGCGTGAGTGCGTGTATGTGTCTTCTCGATATGTCGTATGCTTTAGTGAAGAAATTGACGAGAAGGTAAATTAAAATACGATATGGTCTTCTGTTTTAGAAACAAAAATCACTTATCAAATAATCATTACGAAACAATAAAAAGTGTAATAGTTTCATGAGAGCAACTTTAAAATGAATGAAAGAAAACTTGCTAAGTTTTCATACAATTAGAAATTATTAAAACATGACAGCATATGTTGCATACTCATATAATTAATGAATGGAAATATTTATTCCGTTTTATTACTATTCATTATTGATATTATTATTATTATTGATATTATTATAATTATTATTATTATTAATTTCTGATTTGAAATTGCAAATAAATGAATGAAAAAAAGTAAAATGTAATAATTTTTGCTCTTTTTTGCAATCTCATTTTTCATAATAATTTTTTTTTGCAATCTCAAGAAGTGATAAAAGAAGACGTAATGAATGATATACTTTTCACTTCCTGAATATTACTTACAAATCAAACGTAAAATCCCAAATATTGATTATTTGATAAAATTGATCAGCAATTTATCCAGATCGATAATTAATGCTAAATCTTTCTTTTTTTTCTACAGGAAATGAAAAAGTTGCAACTTAGCCATTTTTAATTTTAAAATAATGAAATTCATTCTTGTAGCTAAGTTTTCTTAGGCAAAATGATAAACAACACACTGATTTAATATGCATTCTTACTGCAATATAAAAGTTATGCATATTTTTTAGCACCTAAAACCGGGTAACTAATAAAGAATTTTACTTAGGAAAAATAAAGTCGTCCCCATTCCAAGTTCTGTCACCATTTTAACCCATAAAATCATGCGACTAACTAATAATTGTCACTGAATTGATTTACTTCCGGTTGATTACAGTTCACTGACAGTATTAGTACCAATAAATCTAATTGTTAACATATCAAACGTGAAACAAACCCTTTTCGACTACACCTGACCCCGTCGACCCATCAAGACCAATCGTCTTCTCTCGTAGACAATGTCAGTATTCTCCTCGCCAAGAAGTCCCTTTTTAATATAGTTAACCTCAATTAATTTGTATTATTTTCTTACCTAAAATCTTTTATTTCTTCTTTACTTTTTTTTTTCGGAAAATAAAAATTTACTGAATTTGAAATTCACACTAATTGACTAATTATGAATTTATGTTAATAATTTATAACTTCCAATCATAGCAAGCTGAGAAGTTGAAATTAGCTAAAAGAAAAGGTTAGATTAACAAAAGATTTTAGCTAAGTGATGAAAATGATTACAATTCAAACAAAAATACTAACAAATGTGATAGCATAAAAACTAGTGTTGTTAGCAACAACCATAAAATTATCAGTGATAATAGAATCATTAGTAATGATGATTATGATAATAGCGACATTTCACAAATAAGTAGTGATGGTAATAAACTATTAATGTTGCTATTTTATTACCAACACTACTAAAATAAATGAAAAATAAAATTCAAACATAGCAAAATAAAGCCAGAAGGCAAATTAAATAATAAATTCTGAAGCTACGCACTTTTCTACAAACAAATACGTAAAACAAAAGAATAAGCATACATTTTTGCATAATATATAAGTCATGAAATATGATATTAGAATAAAATTACGAAGAAGTTAAGCCAAGAATTTTATTGTAATTTTATTTTTTTCTAAAAAAGACAGACAAAAAAATTTTTGAACAAGAAATCAAAGTATTTGAAGAATAATCAAACATTAAATAGTATGAAATACTGAAAATAAAAATTATTATTAATATACTAACAAAAAATAGAGATTATTTTAATGCAAAAACAACAAAACTGATTAATTACTTACAAAAACACAAAAATGAATAAGTATAAAGAAGTGAGATGGAATATTTTGAACAGAATAAGATGATAATTTTCAAAAACACTGCTGTTGGATTAGCACTTTTCAAAGCCATGTAAAATATACATTAGTTATTAATTATGTTATTATATTAATGATAATAATAGCACAAATAATCACACCAATCATATGAATAGCAATAAAATTAGGAGAGTGGAAAATTAATAAAATTAACTTTGATGGTAAAATAAGAAGTAGCGTTAGATATGGTGATTATGCTAAAATGTAGTGATAATAAAAGTTTTTAATGATAACATTTAAGGAATAAGAATGTATCAGTGACGGAAATTATTAAGAACAGTAATAATATTGATATTAGATGAAATAAACATATTTGATAGATTATTTGAACAAAAAATAATGATGTAAATAAATTTTTAAACAATTAAATTAGACC